ACGCGGCGTGCTGCCGCATGCTGCGGCAGGCTGCTGCGTCCTGCGGCGTGCGCCGCAGCACGCCGCGTATTGCAGCATAATATGAAGGAACCCAAAGCAAAGCACTTGGAAGACAATGTATAGGGCCTATCAAATTGAGTGTCGTTTGCACCAGCATCTCCATCTTCGCTCTGGGCTCTGCGTCTCTTCTGCGGTACATGCTCCCTAATCACTTCCAATCGATTGATGCTCCGCCTTTCCCACGCTCGCCCTGGGAAAGTGCTCAGAGAGCACCCCTGCGGAAGAGACGCAGAGTCCAGCGCGAAGATGGACATGCCGGTGCAAACGACACTCAATTTGATAAGCGCTATGCCGCGTGCGTGACGTTTAGAACAAGCCATCAGCGTGGCCTGGAGACCATCCATCCACTGGAAAAGACCATCTCAGTCCGCAGGTGCTATCTTTTATCTATACTTCATCTATTCCTCATTTTCGTGTCAGTAAAAGAATTTAGACCAAAGTGAAGCGCTCATCTAAGAAGTGAAATATGGGTTATCATCATGCCTGGCATGATAGGAGTTACTTTGCCAATGAACAATCTCTACAGAGAGCAAGTTGCAGAAAGCGAGTGTCAATGATTTGTACTTACCTTATGCGCATAGCATCGAACGCATCGCTCAAAGGAGCGATGATGTAAGCATGGAAATTTGAGTATATGACGTCATCAAGCTACGTGGGAGGGGCGCACTAACGCTCATTTATCAGGGAGAACTGTGTAACGTTAGTCGACGTCAGAGTCAATTTTGTGCTATATTCTTCTAAATAGACGTTAGAGTCAATTTTGTGCTATGTTCTTCCAAGTGGATGTGTTCATGGCCGTGGATGTAAGATGTAACTAGCACGATTTCATCGCGACGCTATTTGTACAGCTGGATAAATGTTTCAAGCCGCGAATCGAGAGTGTGGTCAAGATCCATCTGTAGTCGCTCTTCCGTGTAACAAATCGTTGCTCGTTCTTTTGTGCACCTCTGTTGATGAAATCGTCGTTTTCGCCGCGTTCGAGCGATGTCTCCATTTGCGGAGAGTGACGAAGCAATCGTCGGCAGATACTATTCGCAATCGAATTCAGCCGTTCATGTTGTTAATTCTGACGATTTAGTGCTGTTTTTCTTTTTTCTTTTTTTAAATGCAGGGCTCCAAGCTGGAAGAACAGCGAGTTTGTGCTACTTCTAGGGATGGAGTTACCTGCGATATATACGATATAACAATCGTCTTATTTGACTGCGGTATATCTGAAATATTTCACAAAGTTCTCAGTAAGAAGGAAGGGAAGTACACGCAAGACGATGCGAGCAAGCTAGGTTTGAAAAGTGTTAGATACAATGCACAGGTCTATGTCAAGGTCATTCCTTGTTTTGCGCGGGAGTTATGGTGCCGCTCTATCTTACTTCCGTCGACTGAATCCATAACTAAGCTGAGACTAAGTTACCGATGTTTTGAGTTACAGGGTGTTTCATTTGATAAATCAAAGCCATTTGCGAGCTCTACAAGGAAAGGATGGTTAGTCGAAGATTTTTGCGATGACTCGTATGCGATGTTGGCGAGCGTAAAATGTTGTTCCAAATCTGTCCTCCTTATCTGCGGAGGGGAGACGATCAAGAGGCGCGATTTCTCCAGCTGTCACTAGCTTAAAATTCCAGTTTAGTGCTATGCGAGCCTTCAAAAAGTATCAGATAAGTGCATTAGCTTACTATCTGTCTGACACTACTAACTGCTGAGTTTGGTGGCTTTGGCTGGAAAATGGACCGAAATATTCACGGATTTTTCCTCAACTGCATTTTCATGGGTTCTTGACCTTCAAAATTGCTGTTTCAAACCGAATTCAAGATATTAAGATTGAACAACACATGCAACTATCTGACACATCTCTTTTCAAAATTTGAATACATTTAGAAGGTCATAAAACACTTATTATGTGCCATTAGGTGTCCATCTGGCAATAAAAATCACGCCTTCGCGCCTCTTGACATACACCCTCTGCGGAGCGCTTCCGAACGTGAAATTATGAGCGTTTGAACAAGCAAAAAATGAATGTTTTCCAGGATAAAAACAGTTGCGAAAATTTTCCCAGCGCTTGGATGAGACAGACGGAGTGCGGATATATTTCACTCGAGAGTATTTTTTTCATCACCATGTTTGGTTCGAGTTTTCTTCGATGCAATTATGGTCATGAAGTCACTTACAAGGGAAAGATGGTTTGTTGAAGTGGCCTTTTAAGATTTCTTGTATACCATGTTGGAGGGCATAAAACTTCGATTCCAAATAGGTTTTCGTTATCTGCGGCGCATTCCTGCATGAGAAGTTATAAACGTTTATTGGAGAAAAAATTGAATGTGCAAATAACATTAAAACAGGAGTAACATTTTTTCTGGCGCTTGAATGGACCAGTGGTAATCTTTTCAGCGCTCTATAGACCAACAACCCTGAGCAAAAAACCTACTTTAAGGGTAAGGTTTACTCAGAGTTTATTGATACGACCACGCTAATGTACATTCTAACTCAAAAGACACCGTTCATTCGATAATCTTTTGTTAGACTTGCAGTACAAAACGATTTAATACTCTGTACCACTTTAGCAATATGATAGCAACAATTCAAAGGGTTTTCTGCTACCTTGAGTCAAAAAATGGAAGATAAGAGGCAGAAAGACCGAAACTGCTGCTAGTGTTTGTGGTTCCGACGCCACGGAACGGTGGCGTCCGTTTGTTTCGTTTGTTTTATTTTCTAATAAACATTTGTTGTCCTTGTTCTTTGCTCGCCTAAAGGGTATCATCCCTTACAACAATGTATTTGCGGTTACAACAAATGTTGTTCACTCTCGACATAGCGTATTTACCTACTAGCCTCCCGAAATTTGTGCTTCACAACAAAGTTTGAACAAAAAGTTACCTCAGGTATTCTGTAACAATTTCTCGTCTACGAAATTACATAATTGTATAACTTGAGCTATGTCAAGATCGTCTTTACGATCAAGATGTCGAAAACTTCATAACATTCCAGACCCTTTTGTAAAATTTTTTGAAATGGCAAGCATTTTATCCTGGCGCGTGGCAAACTATGACTGTACAAGTAGGCGGGGCAGCTCCGCCCTTAAGGAACATGCCTTTTTTCTTCTGGTTTTTGATATCTCTCCATAAAATGACCATTTGTTTGCTCAACACTCTCCTACCGCATGAGTTATGTTGCGTGGGATAAGCCTAATATGTTCAAGCGTAATTAGATTATCTAGTCTACAGCATCTTCTAAAAGTTCTATGTAAACATCATCGATGATCACGTGATTGGCTTCGTCTTGACTCTTTCCAACAAAACTTTCGTTTTTGCTGGCGATGTACATAGTCTCCCTCTGCGGCAACTTTATCATAAAAAAGGAAGATGAAAAAAAGAAAGTCCTTTCTATAGTAGCTCATTAAATCCCACTCTTGTTTATGCTGTGTATCCTACAAGCTTTCCAAGCAGTTAGTTTGGTGGATAATTTCAGTTACTCTTTTTTTATCTAACTCTGAAAAATTGCAAAGGCTTCCTCAACTCTTTAATGTGTTGTATGTAGGGCATGGCAGGTTCTAATTATCGACATGATTATCGCAAATGCATAAATAGTCAAAGTTTTTGTTTTTTTTTAAGTTTTGAAGTGCACTCCGATTTCCAGTTTTGAATTTTTTCTGTGCGTTTCCTTGTACTTCTCCCTCCTTGTAATCGAATGTATTTCGACACTGTCTCTCCTATGGTGACTTTTTGCTACCCCAAACGTCTGAAAAACAAGCGGTGAAATTTTCAAACTTTTTCAGCAGATTTTCTTTTTGTGCGCGAAATGTAGAAATTTTTGGTGTAAAGATTTCTATGTCAAAGTTTAAATCTTTTTGAAAATTCTAAAAGATATTTTCCGCTTGGAGCAATTGTGCACAAATGGAGCACCGACAACTCAGATGAAGATGTGCAATCATACTTGGGCTCTCCCTTCATTTTCGCCAAGCATTATGGACATTGTTCGATTATATTCCACCGGTTGCTCGCTCATTATTATGATGCTACATTATTGAGATAGTAGCCACAAAAGAGACTTTCACACCATAAATGGGTGTTTTTTGCTAGACTGCGTGTGTGACGATGCCTAGGGGTAGGCTCTTGTATCCCGTCAATATACAGGGTGTCCCAAAAAAATGTGCCTACTGTTTGATTGTAAATAACTCTCTTGTAATGAAGTGTTTCGAGAAGCTTTAGGTACCGTTTTGTAAAGCGAGCTTGAACTTAGATTTGCATTATGGGAGCGAATCATCTATCGCTCTTCATTACTGTAGGATTACGGTACGAACTTCGACAAGGATTTTATGTCATTGGAGGCTATATTCTGCCTCGGAATAAAACCAAACAAGCCAGAAACTCTTACATTACGGTAATGGGAGCCGCTGATCTCGAATTTGAAATTCCCATTTTACTGTGATGCTTCTTTCCTAAGGTATCGCCGGTAAATCGTGATAAATCAATTCCTTGCATTCGTCAGAAATGTAATTACACCGTCAAAAAAGCTGAAAACACTCGTAAAATGTTAAGTGGAATCAGCATGCGCGAAAACCCTAGTATACGATTTTTCAGATTTTTTGAAAAAAATTTTGTTAAATGGTATATTTCACAATGGTTCCATATGCTGGAAGTTCATACCGTAATCTTACAGTAATGAAGAGCGATCGATGATTCGTTCCATACTGTAAATCTAAGTTCAACCTCGCTCTACAAAACGGTACCTAAAGCTTCTCGAAACACTTCATTACAAGAGAGTTATTTACAATCAAACAGTAGGCACATTTTTTTGGGACACCCTGTACTTTAGAAATGAGTTTCTTTAAAGCTTCTGAGATCTTTGTGAGTTGGCCACTCAATAAATACCCTTCATTCCACGATGTATTTTACGGTGATTTTCAATCGCACCTTTCTATAAAAGAGCGATTTATTCAGGAGGATGCAGCTGGAAGTAGTTTTCTACATTCTAAATGTCGTACTCGAATCCCTAGTTGTAATCATGGACATTCTCATCATAATTATCGCATTCAAAACAAACGAAATCAAACGAAACTATATTCTCCATATAATCTTGACAGCAATGCTGCTGGATATTGCAGTGTATATCAATGTCATATTCCACGATGTGCCAAGTTTTATTCCCGACCGAGATGTTTCGAGTGAGTTCAGCAATAGCGAAGTTACTGATATTGACAGTAATATTTCAGCCTCAGTGACGATTTATCTCTCCGTGCTTGCTCTTAGTCTGCAATATTTTGCACAGCTGCTATTCTTGCCAGCTCTTTCTATCATACACTATTTTGCTATTTCTCGTCCTGCGCAGTTTCGTGGCTTTTCCATGAGAGAGTTCACCTGCGTCAATGTTATTGTTATGCTGTCTGCGCTGATTATAGCTGGTAACTTACATCCTTCAAAATCACCTGAAAATCGTTTGGGCGAAAATATTAAAAATTCAGACGCTATCACTAAGGGATATCCATGTATAATGCTATAAGAGTCTTATAAGAGGTTTCGCAGTTCTTATTGGTTAAGAGGATCATGTCAAAGCGGATTTTGAAAATTGTTTTAAAAAGGATTCAAACCAGCGTGAGCTCATGCGAATCACTTTCAGCCCCTCTATTTACGGAATATTGCGGCCACATTTACTTGCTAGATGGTCACTATTGGTATTTTGACTTCTCCAAACCTTACACTTATTTATACCGCTACCTTAATTGGACGCTGCAGGTGAGAGACTGCTTTGTCAAGGAAATTCCAAAAATTCTCCCTTTCAGGCGATCTGCGTTATAATTTTGGTAGTTGCAGATACATTGATCATATATAAGCTGTTCCGGTTGCGAACATCGAGAAACAATAATCGCGCGTTTGCATCGACTTCAAACAAAAGTGGTGCACGGAAGGTAATTATTTTCTTTTTCTAAATTTCAAATTCGCTCCAGAATTACTTTAGATGCACAAATTCGCGCGAGAAACCCGTTTGGCCAAAGATTTTCTATTGCTAAGCATTTCTTTTATCGTCATGACTATTTGCTACAACGTCGTTCAAGGGTAGGGTGCTTTGGCAAATTTTTGGCTAGAAAAAAAAGAAACGTGTTTTTCACACTAAATACTGGTTGCGAAACACAGATTACTCTAAGTAGTGTCCATTTGTATTTCAAAAATGCAATTTGCTTGCAAACACTGTATACGATTGTTTGATGACCGCACAGAGGAAACAGTGTTTCGGCAGCAAGTGGACAGCATTTTCATGGTTTTTTTTTGAACTTTAGATGATTGGTTTAATGCTGCTTACCCTAGACGCCAGGATTTACGCACGAGTGAAACTTCAATAACTCAGCGAGTTGAAGCGCTTCTTATACATCCTGGTGAGAACGTTGGTATCAGGTTGCCCGATATCTTTGGAAGACACCTGAGTATCATCGCCGGATACACCAGCACTAAATACTGACAAAATTCCTTGCGAAAAAAGTCCTGCATAAAACCTTAGAAGAAAGAGTAGACTGAATGTGAGAGCACCAGTGCTCGAAAGCATCCTAGTACTAGGGTGGCTTTCCCTCCAAAATGAAATGAAAGATGTGACAGAAAGGCAAAACAGTTACTTATAAACGAAAATTGCCTTTTGTACAGATTTAATACAAAGCCGGTCTCTTAAGATTATGTGAACTCAATAGCGTATATATTGGATTGTCCCAAAGTACAATTTTTTTACAAACAATTTCAAGCTAATTTGCATTCCCAGTAAACTTAGGGTATCATTCGATAGAGTAAATCGAGCTCCACGAGATTTCCACCAAGGATCCGCCTAAGTCGCATTCCATGGAAAGTTTGAATCGAAAAAAATTTTGTCACTTGAAAACTTGAAAACTGGATTTTTGCGACAAAGAGTCTTACAGACCTCCAACTTGGTCCTTATACAGCAGGCATATAGTAGTACTCAAATCTGCTTTTATCGAATTTTTCCGAACAAAGAAAGCGAGAAACTTGTACAAAAAAGGCAAACTCCGCCCCCAGCCACTCCCACTTATGTCATTGTATACTACAAGCCTTACTAAGTATAATTTTGAAATCTTACCTCTGTATGTGCTCTTAGAATTGAGAAATACCAAGTTTTACATAAAGTTCCCGAAAAAAGTAGCATTTTGGCATTTTTGGACCAACTTTTTTTCTCAATTTTGAGCCCCGGAAAAAATCCCCCAGATACATTTTGGGTACTGCTACATATGTGTCTACTATACATGGACCAAGTTGGAAGTCCGTAGAAATTTTCTGGAAGGAGACCCGATTCTTAAAGTAGCTGAAAAATGGCCCAAATTTTTGGCCCAAATTTTACCTGGGTTACGACTTAGGTGGGTCTTTGGTGGTTTTTTGTAGAGCTTGCTCCGCTCTATCGAGTGGTACCCTAAGTCTGTCATGAAAAAAAGCTTATTTTATTTGAAAACGGAGTTTACTTTTGGGACAACCTAATATATGGTGCTTTTTTGAGAAACCGTCTGGTATTCCAGCGTATTTAGTTGCTACTCTATCGTCACTTCGCTTTCTTGCTTCAAGAATTCTGGAGGGACTTGGATTGTCTGCACTCTCTGCGCACATCAGGATTGTGCTTCTGCTAATGGATTAGTATAAGAATAAAATTATTTTCAGAAAGAGCATCTGGGAGGATCTTCTGATGAAGTGTGCGCTACTTCTTAACACAACGAAATGGGGAATATGCGCACTCGGAAATCCCGCTATATCTTCATATTTCATGAGCGCTTGTCGCTAGAAAGATTTTTGAGATTTCCCTTACGTCATAACAAGAAGCTTTGTCATTGCTCTAGTGAGACGGTTCGCTTGAATGATTCTGCAGTCTGTTGAAGTGTATGATGTATATTACTGTGTTATAAGTTCGTTCGCATCTTTTTTGATTCAGTTTTCTTGCAATCACCAAGATATTTTGTATGAGGGGGGAGAGGGAGGGACAGGGGAATGTGGGAAAATAGAGAACGGTGGCTTTTACTATAGTTTAGAGTGAGAGGGCCGGGCGGAGGCATGTATGCCAGCTATTTATCACTGAGAAAAAAATGAAGTGTAGTTTTTTTTAAGAAAAAACCTTCCCCTTTTTTTTATTTTCAAAAAGCCTGTATTCGGCATTCTTCATAAAACAGCACTGAAATAGTTAACGTAGCTTTCCAACCCTTCCCCTTCCACTATAAACTCAACTTTTACTTTGTTTTACCTTGACGTTCACACGTCTTAGAATGACCTCTTATGAAGAGGTAATTTCGGTAATTATATGCCCTATTTCCGGTGTATAAACCGCAACTGTTTTCATCGCACTCGAGGTAACGTGCGACGGCGGTCGCTCTGCGCGAAGCCGCACAGGCAGCCAATTACTACAGTGCTGGCCAAAACTATAGATCCACCTCTAAAAACTGCCGTAACTCATCTGCTTCTCAAGATATTGATCTGAAATTCGGTATAGCGGTGTGTTTAACAGGCTACTATCAGTAACCAGGACCGATTCCCGCTTTTGTTTGATGGTTCTGGAAGAAATCAAAATTTTTGAAAAAAACAAGCTCGAAAGCTGGCAAAAATTATAGATCCACCTAAAGTTTCTATCCACCTAACTGATTCTCGGTATCCACAATCTTTGGTGCATATACATGATCAAAAGTCAAGACAGCCGATTAAGTTCAGCTGTGTCATATCTTTATTAGAAACTCTTATTTGCTTTTTAACACAAAAATACTTCCACGCGTATTTTGTCACCGTTAGTATGTTTCTAGGGGTGTTTCCGCAGTTCTTTCAACTGGTTTGAAAGCGATAGGTCTCCATCTGTCTTATAGATGCTTAGCGAAGTGAGTATTAGCAGAAAATCTGAGTTTTCGTGTCTAAAGCGCACCCAACATAGACCTCACAGCAAACCTGCGCTCAAATTTGTACCTTCAAAACTAGGTTTACGCTATTTTTGTAAGCTCTAAATAATGTAGATGCATTATTTACATAAAAAGAAGATTACAAACTATACTCACGATTTATTCCACGTTCGACTATTTCTGAATCTTGGCATAGTGTCAATTACGATATCTGATGTTAAGCTTTCCAGGATTGATAGTTCCTTCCTTTATTGCCAGTAACAGTTAACAATCAGTACGGTCTACGTTTCGGCGAAGATCGCCTTCTTCAAGACCTTCAACAATACTGTGTAGGGTACGCCCACCACTCTGACAACATGTCAGACCACTACTCGCCGTTTAGCGTGATGGAATATTATACTCGCGATTGTTCGCGAAATCGCACTTTGTTTCGTAAACAAGGCATAATTTTCGCTATTCAATGATAATGTAAGTGTAAGACAATCCCAAAATACTTATCAAGTGGTGCCTTTTCTAATTTTTTGCCATTATTGAGCTGCCAAATACTGAAAACACTCTGTATTGTATGTTTGCCTCTGACTCACATGAGCATTATGATCAGAATCAAAAATAACTTCAAGCCTTGTTGCTAATCAGTTTTTGCAGGATGAATTCCTTAATTAGCCTGAATGCTAGGACATGCAAAAATTTGCAACCAATGCATACGGACCCTCATATTTACAAACAATGTCATCACTTCGTTTCACGCTCAAGGGAACATCACAAGACAAGTTTGAAGGCATAAATTTGAGCGCAGACCTGCGTTTATGTCTATGTCGGGTGCGCTTTGAATACGAAAACTCCAGTTTTTTTCTATTGTTTACTTCGCTTAACATTCATAAGAAAGGTGAAGCCCTATCGCTTCCAAACCAGTTGAAAAAACTGCGGAATCACCTATAAAAATACGTTCTCGAGAATAAAATGCGCATGAAAGTAAGTTTGAGTCGAAAAAAAGCAGATAAGCGTTTCTTATAAAGGTATCACACAACTGAACTAAAGCGATTGTTTTGACTTTTGACTATGTATATGCACAAAAGACTTTGGGAGTCGAGTGTTACTTTAGTGGAAAGAAACTCTAGGTGGAACTATAGTTTTGGCCAACCTTCAAGCCTGCTTTTTTTTCAAAATTTTTGATTTTTTCCTTAATAATTGAACGAAAGCGGGATCCGTTCTGGTCACTGATGGTAGCCTGTCAAACACACTGCTGTACCAAATTTCAGATCAATTCGTTGAGAAGCAGATGAGTTACGGCAGTTTCCAAAGTGGATCTATACTTTTGGCCAGCGCTGTATTTATTTTACCGGTACTGTCGATAATTTCTGCTTTCGTTACTTGTTGAAAAGTTAAAAGCAACGTTGAAATATCAGCAGTATCATTCAATCGAAGCACAACCTTTCAGCATCAGTAACATTATTGAGACTTAAGAAAGCACCGTCGACACCATTTATCCTTAAGGGAAGTAACACAACCTAAATTCTCGCAAAATCTTTACTCTGAAAGAAGTAAAGAGATACCTGTAGTCATGAAAATGTGCAATATAGAGTAGTTAAATAATGCACGAGTCCTCAGCTTATTGGATTAAATACATTCTTTTCGAAGGCACTTTCGCGCCATTGTCCGCTGCGGTGTGCGCGGCTTATAAGCCGGAAAATAGGGTATTTATGGGAATCATATCCAAAATGGTCACATCTTACAGCTTTGAATAGTCGGTCGCTTTGAGGCAGTCAAATTAGCTTTCGCGTTCACGAGCTCATTTTCATCTGCAAATACTGAAATCAACGCAAAGCCTTGATCTTCTGACAAAGATGGAATTAAGTGTTTTACATGAGCGCGGTAGCCTAAGCGAACGTTTTGATTCGTTTTTTGAAAAGAAAACACACTGATTATGAAAAAAAACGTGTGAGCACTGCAATGTACTAATTATAGATCTTCATTCAAAAAAACGAAAGTACAAATCTTTTAAGAAAGGTCAAGGCCTCACAAAGTTGTATAAGTTTCTATTGTTGTATAGGTTTCTGTAGAGTCTCAAAAATAGGAGGAATCGCGAAATATCTGATTGGCTTAAAGGCAGCGTCCTGGCAAAAACGAAAATGTGGAGTACAGGGGCGCCCGTCCTGGTAAGGCTTTTGCCTAATTGGCCATGTACCGATTTGCTTCTGAAGAGAGAAAACCGCTTTAAAAGCGGCTACAGCAACGCCCCGGCGACCGGGGCGTTGCTGTCGTTAGTTCGATAAGCCAGAGTGCGCATACCGCACACAGTCAAGACGTAGGGTCCCACAAAGACTCTGCGTCTTAACCTTGGAGGCAGGCGACAAAATTCAAATCAAGATATTCTGGAAAAGCTCGTTTTCGTGCTCTCCAAACTGTATTTTCGGAATCAGCGGGAAGGATGAGTCCAGGTAAGTGAAAAAAATTCTATCCGAAATTTTGCCCGGACGCTGCCGTTGAGTGATCGCATTGACATCATCCCTCAAAACTGAACCGAGAGTTGATCAAGTAAACACAGGATGGTCAGAAAACTTCGGTTGAATATCATCGAAAGATGTACAGTAGTGTGATGTATGTCCACAAGCAAAAGAAGATATCGTCACAAAACCTATGCTTTGCAGATTACTATAAATTCTATGAGCAGTTCCTAGAAGTGGACCGGCTGCAGTACAGCTGCCAATTTTTCCTCCAGAAAAAGAACCTTTATTAACATGGGTAGACCTATAATAAGGTCCGAGTTCCGTTGAGCCCCTTTCTCTTGCTGCCACACCTACATTTACACAAAGCCGACCCTTCTCAAAAGATTTGCACTTTCGTTTTTTTTCAAAAAATATCTACAATGAGTGCATTGCAGTGCTCACTCTTTTCATCATATTCAGTGCTTTTCCTTTGCTAAAAAACGAATCACAGCGTTTGCGTAGGCTACCGCGCTCAAATGCGCTCAGACACTTAGAGGCTATTGCATGACGAAGGCGCAAAAGCAGCATCAGTTGAGCGGGCGCAAAGGCGGCGCGCGCGTATCCTCACTGTAATCCCTGCACCTCATGCGCTCTGCGGCTAATAAAGCTTCGTTCGCGCCCAAAGATATTGCGCCTTCGTCATGCAGTAGCTTATAATCATCGTCTGTGAGAACATCAAAGCCTTGCGTCGATTTCAATGATTACAGGTAGAAGTGGGGTTGTGAACGCGAAAGATAATTTGATTGCCTCAAAGCGACCGGCTATCTAGAGCAGAAAGAGGTGACCAATTTGGACACCATCCCCATGAATATATAATATCTACTAAAGTTACAATATTTTTCGAAATGCATATTGCGTTACTTTGTCCTTGTCGCATACGACAAATGTCGCATACAACTGTACCAGCGTGCAGTCACCCCATCCAAGCTTGTCAAAATAGGGTGTAAAAAAGAGGTGTTTTGGATTTTCACATAAATTTACATCTGCCGAGATCGAAGCCACCGCAAAGTTCAAGGCTGATTGAAGCATGAAAGAAAATCTGCATGAACGCTACCTACAAACCCTAAATTCGAACGTTGTATGCTTTTGCATTACAACCGCAATCGGCTTTTTTTCTTTTATCGTGATCCATATTCATCAATTATTTTCATTCCTATTACTGTCATGTTTCCATTTTTCTGGAAACTATCACGTTGAAGACTAATAGAAAGCAAAACAAATGAGAGAATGACAAGAAAAAAAAGGATAAGATCCAATATTTTGATACAGAAAGTTCGTGATTACCCAAGTCCTGTGACAAATAAGCTTTCGGCAAGAAACTAACAAAAGCTGTTCAAAAACCAATGCC